CTCTTTGAATATCCTAAACACCCTCATATGATTAGTTCCTATTGTTGAGAGCACAGTATCACAATAAGACTGTAACTCAGATTTGGCAGTATCAAGATTGGAAATTAGAAGCGTAAACAACCAGCCAGCCATAAACACTATTTATTTGAATTTTTGTGACGTTTAGAATCCAATAAAAACGGAGAAGGTCCGTATCCTTATCATAAATATGCAATCTAAATTATTGTAAATACAGATTAATCAGAGTTTCGCCTTTGGAAAGACTGGATAATGGTTAGAAAATACAATACTTATTTATGATATTGAAGCATTACGCTACAGAAATTCGTAGCCCTAGAATGCTTAATTATGCATCTAAATCTGAAATGTTATTGATGACTTAGATTTGGAAATAACCCGAGAAAATGGATATCTATTCTAATAAATTAGTCAGTGTTAATTCTGTTTTAAATCGTGGGGGTCAGCTTTTTCGAGATAAAACGTGGCTTTCGGAAAGGTGATCGAATCGCATCATGACTATTTATTCCCTTCTCACGAATTTTCGCCATCAAAATTAGAAACTATGGAAGAATAAAAGTGTCAAGTGTCCGATCCTATTTTCACAATATTCGGACGATATTTTCATCAGTTCATCTGTTTAGATAAATGTCATGTCTTAAAATCAACTGCGAATAAAAAAACACAAAAATCATGGCCAGAGAGTAACAAATATCATGAGCAAGTACTTTTACCTGCCTTGCATTGTTACACGAACTTCGTGTAAACCTATTTCAGATTATTAAATTTGAATATGTTTCTTGTTTTTGTTTTCTTTAACTTTGATTAGTTGGATATAATATTACCTAATATCTACAGTATCTTAGAGTATTCCAGAGTAGTAAGAAATACAAGTAGAATATTGACGTATCAAGAAGAATATTGACGTATCAAGTAGAATATTGACGTATCAAGTAGAATATTGACGTATCAAGAAGAATATTGACGTATCAAGTAGAATATTGATGTATCAAGAAGAATATTGACGTATCAAGTAGAATATTGATGTATCAAGAAGAATATTGACGTATCAAGTAGAATATTGACGTATCAAGTAGAATATTGACGTATCAAGTAGAATATTGACGTATCAAGTAGAATATTGACGTATCAAGTAGAATATTGACGTATCAAGTAGATTATTGACGTATCAAGTAGAATATTGACGTATCAAGTAGAATATTGACGTATCAAGAAGAATGTTGACGTATCAAGTAGAATATTGACGTAACAAGAAGAATATTGACGTATCAAGTAGAATATTGATGTATTCAACTATTCCTCGAAGTCTTAAGCTTATCCTATAGATGTAAATATATAAAAATATCCATAGCAGTACAGTACTAATGGGGGGATGTTTTCCTACAATGTACCTTATCTTTTGCGATCAACTCAAAACAAGCTTCGCTGGCCACAAATAAAGGTTAATTGTCATATTCTTACAGCTTACTTATGTACCCAAAACAGGTTCTGTTATAGAGGAAGGGAGGTAATCGTGCATGTCTTATTGGAATGCAATGAAGTCAAGAATTTTCTCGCAATATTTATATTGTAATTAAATTGACTAACAATTATATTCCCAGTTAATAAAGATAAAGTTATTTTTGGTCTGTCAATAATACCGGGATTTACAATACAATATTCAGGGTTCTAGGAAATGTACATAAAGACCCTATGTGGTTCAAATGTGTATTCCGTATGGTAAATGTGGTTCTTGCTTATATATATATATATATTTTTTTTTCTAAATGAATGAAAGAAATGGATTAAAATTTTGTTATTGTCTGAGACCTGACATATATTATGCTGAAAACACTAAAATGTTTTCAGTAACAAGTCTGTTACCTCACCAGGTGGTTATAAAATACTTTGTTGACTTCCTTGACATGTAAGTACTTTTGTATTCTTATCAACTTTTTTCTATTTCTTTTCCTCCATCCTTTATTTTTCTTAATATCCACACCATCTTTTTCTCACATTGAGTAATTTCTCTTGCAGTGTAATTCAACAATCAATGCGATTAACCTGGTGTGAAAGATAATGTTAGTTATGTATTTGCACACTACAACAAGAAACGACACAACAATGAATATGAATGAAAAAGACCACCCTTACAGAGAGGGTGACTTTGTATTTATTTATGAAATTAAAAACATATCTTACATAAACCATAAAATGAACACAAAACTATTTTTTCAGTAGTTTTAATAAAGCCAATGTGGGGTTAACAAAAAACGCCACAATTGCTTGAAATACATAACGTTACTATAGAACAGACAATAGGGTAATGTGGGTGGGTAAATTTTGCATAACAAATGCAAATCCACTCCACTAAATGAAAAACGTATTGCTACAATGAAAGATGGCTGTCTAATGAGAGGGGTCTCAGCATCCCCGCGAAAGTAACTGGCTAATCAGATGACCGATGGCCCTCTAATTCAAGGGACATAACTCTTACTTATTTTTGCAAAGAAAATCAAGGGAAATAACTCTTTAAAATCTTTAACAGAAAAATAAATAACTCATATATCTATTTAACAGACAATTCGACAATTAAAGTATCTTGTATAGTGTTTCCGATACATAAATTAAGCAAATGCCTTAGCTGCCTTTTATGTATCTGCACACTACGACAAGAAACGACACAACAATGAATATGAATGAAAAGGCCACACTTACAGAGAGGGTGACTTTGTATTTTTTTATGAAATTAAAAACATATCTTACAGTTCCATAAACCATAAAATGAACAAAAAAAATTCAGTAGTTATAATAAAAAGCCAATGTGAGGTTAACAAAAAAACGCCACAAAGACATGACAAAATGTCTTCCCCAAAAAGGGATGAGAGATAATGTTATTTACTACTTATTGCAAACATGATATATTAATTTCATGTATTATTTAATCATGCATTTGAAACTCTTTTTTGAAAATAAAGCAAAGAAAATGACATTTTTATTTCTAAAATTAATTTCCTCCCTACTGGAGTGATTTACCCGTTCTCATATAAATTGTATAGCGTATTTGGTATTGTACTGCTTTATAATCAAATTCAAAACTTACTTATTAAATATTACTGTGACTCAAGTTAAATGTTTGGGTTGCCTTAAATTGTAGTATCAATAAACAAAATGTCCCCGACTGATTGGCGTGTGGACTTAATAAAAATACTTTATGTTGTACGCACGTTTTATTGAATATAAATTGTAAGTAAAAATTTATGAGGTAGTAAACCGTGTACATAATTCTTCTCTCTCCGAATGGCACATTTGAAATTCACTAAATCATTGACTGTATATACAGAAATGGCTCTAACGCTGTGTTAAAAGGATATTCCGTCCAAGCTGCAAAATTTCCAGCCGTTCCGTACCTTTGAAGAATTCATTCTGATGACTTTTAAAATTGTTGTTAATATCAAAATATATCTCCTGTGGTTAGTTAGGACAGGCGAGATTGATGGGAGTTCTTCTCGCCAAACCGTCAACATATGACACATCGGGAAATCCGGAACTATATGATAACTGGATCACATATTTTATACAGAATATTGGGTAAACACATAAGTATGTCACCAACAATTTTATTACTTCATTACACTTATCTTCAGTGGAATTTATAATTTACACAAATATTTCATTCTGTTCGGCGTATAACAACGCAAACCTGTTATGGCGCTATCGGGGCCGCGCGAACGTTTGCAAATCGATCTAGCTAGATCTATAAAGAAATTTCTGCAAATCAAATATCATCTGTTTAAATTTTCTTTAAAAAAGCATCCTTTGAACTCCTAAGTTGTGATGAACATCCCTTTTAGTATAAGTTCCAGATCCATATACACGTATAACCAGTATTTCCTTGTTTTGCAGTTTCATATCACTTTAATCTCTAAATTTACCTATCAGAACACATATCTCTTTTTGAACTTCATAATTTACTGGCCAATCAGTGGCAGCCAAACAATTTTTGGCCAATCAGTGGCAGCCAAACAATTTACTGGCCAATCAGGCAGCAAAAAATTTACTGGCCAATCAGTGGCATCCAAACAATTTACTGGCCAATCAGTGGCAACCAAAAAATTTCTGAGGCTCAATCATCAATACACAAAGACCACATCAAAAGTCAGTTGGTTGTTTTTTTTTCATTGATATGATTTATTTCCCTTAGACTAATTAAAGCGAATGGATCTCATCTGGGTAAGGTTGGATGTAAAACCTATCATTATGGGTTTTCTCTAATGTAAATGTGAACTCTTTATAATCAGGCACATAAACAGTTTGAAATAATGACACATTGTTAGTTAATGTAGCATGGTAAATACCGATTTTTTTCTCCGCTGTCCTTGATGATAAACACAACTCAAATTAATGCTTGTTAGCGTACAATTCAGAACAATGAAAAGTATGACGTCACCATAGTAAGTAGTATTCATTTTGAGTGCCTTTTGATATCTCATTCACAAAAACGCTTTCTAAGACAAAGGAGAAGAAAAATTCGAACACAAATTGGTTTTGTTTGCGAGTTTAATAAGTGTTATTGAGCTCAGTATATAATAAAGACAGTTTATTAAAACATTATATGACAAAGCACTCGCTCTTTCTGATATCACAGTCATAGGGAGGATGAAAGGGACGATGTAAAGTGAACGCTTCCAGCCACGTGCACCAACACGACAATTACGCGGGAAGACAGGCATGTCGATCGCTTCATACAGTGGTTCTTGTATATCTTGCCATGAGTAGAAATCTTCAATGACTGCGGTAACATATTTAGTGTTTCGATCAACCTTTTGCAAAGAAACGTTGGACGCTAAAATAACCGCTGTCGATAAAAAATATCCGTTCTGTGTCTAAAAGGAATTTGTTTCCATGAAAACTCTGTACCAAGGAAGAATCCGTTTCCACAAATTAGAGTGTGGTTCCAAAGGAGAAGATATGTCAATGAAGACTTTCCTATAACACATATGTTATATACGTGATGTAAGGTCTTCTATAAGGTGGTTCTTATATAACTCCCAGTCGGCTTTGATTTGAAGATTAGTCTGAAATGTGTTTTCATCCGGGTAAGGCTGGACATTGTTACGTATCTGCCGTCTGACCGTAGGGGTGGCGTGTTTGATGAAGAAGGCTTTGGACACCATGATCAGTTCTGCTCCTCTACTCACCTGTCAATACAAAGGTTAATTGTGAAAATGTACCGATTCAAATTATGAACAGAGGTTTTATTTTCAGGCAATAGTAAAGTTCGTCATGTTGAATTCTGTGAAACTTTAAATGATTCAGTTCAACATCCGTGCCAAATTCTTCAATTTAATACGACATACTTGTTAACATTGAAAGAACGCTTCAAAACCATCATACCGTTCAAGGTTCAGATAAGGGTTCGAACGTCATCGTACTGTTTAACGTGCAGAAAATTTTTCGAAAGCCAGCATATCGTTAACGTTCAGAAAACAGTTCGAAAGCCATCATATCGTTAAACGTTCAGAAAACAGTTCGAAAGCCATCATATCCTTAACGTTCAGAATACCGTTCGAAAGCCATCATATCGTTTAATGTTCAGAAAACTTCGAACGCCATCATACCACTTAATTTATCTTAGTGTTGATTATCTGCTGAGTTATGTAATCGTAATGCACGATAAGTGGTATGCTTGTTTAATATAACATGCCTATTCCATTCCTCCTTATTCTAAACAATGCGAGAGTTCGACGCCCTTCGTAATATATATCAAATATTGATAAACTTACCAGACTAACACTGGTATTTTCACGCTCAGCCTCATCAGGGAATACAATAGTCTCCAAACCCTGTAACACAAAGAAAAACACTTATCGGATGGCAATTTCTTCCTAAACTTTTTAATAGCAGGATTTAAAGATTCGCTATACGTAGAGTAACTTAACAAGTGTGTTCCGAAAGGGTAAGTGTCTTCTGTGTCTTTAACGAAACCCGAAATGTAGTAAGTAATGACGCGTTCTCAAGACAGAAGTAAGTATTCGACAACGAAAAAAAAAATACTGAGATCAAATTAAAAAAAATTATTTCAACGTGTGGTCATGGAGCCGACCATAAAGTTAGTTAACCCCAGTTACTTACAAATGAGTCCCTCGGTTTGAGTGCCTCTACTTGAACGAATACAGGAGGTGGTTTTCCATTTGTTTCTTTGATGGGCTCCGGCGGCTTAGGAGGTTTGCATCTTTCGGGAACCTGGTATTTCTTCTTCGTTCCCGATGTTTCACGAATCACAGACTGTTAATTATTATGTCATAAAACGATGAAAATCATGTAGTAATCGCGTTTTATACAATAACAACAAAAAGAAAATTAACACGTCAACATAATGACAATCCAAACTCAAATTCAATAAAAGAAAAAATTACATGGAGTCTCATGAAAATAGTACATGGAAAATAAGATAAGGTGTTCCGGAAGAGAAAGCGTCTTCTGCTTCATCGACGACACTGGCTATATAGACATTGGTCATGAAGTAATGTCACGTTCTCAAAAGAGAACAAGATAAACAACAACAACGGAACCAAAAGGCAAACTAACAAGCATAAAATACATTTAGCTTTATATCGCAGAAAGAGATGGTAGATATTTGCTTAGCATAGAAATGTCATATATACTTCTTATTCTCCTCGATAACATGTTATTGTTTACAACTATCTAAAGTGACAGATTTACAGGAATCGTATCAGGAAAAGATTCATTGTTAGTACATATCTGACATTCAAGATATATAGCAAATCAATGACACTTACGAAATGAGCTTTTTGCGTCGTTGGGAACTTGGAATAGTTATCCTTCGAGAAATTCTGTTTCTGCCTGGCACCTCCCTGTGATCCTGGAGGAGTGTTCTCCTTCTGTCTCTTATATTCTTGGTCCTGGTGAACATTGAAATGTCATCATACATGAAGTGATTATATAATTAAGATAACACTAGCATCATTTCAGACGTATGACACCAGATAATAGTCTCAGAAACTGCAAAAGTTAAATTACATATTAACGTATGATTGTAGCCTCGGCGTTTGACACATCAGACGTAAATTTAATCATTTCTTCACTAAAATGATATGCAAAGGCGTCTTGTCTTTACTAAAATGATATGCAAAGGCGTCTTGTCTTTACTAAAATGATATGCAAAGGCGTCTTGTCTTTACTAAAATGATATGCAAAGGCGTCTTGTCTTTACTAAAATGATATGCAAAGGCGTCTTGTCTTTACTAAAATGATATGCAAAGACGTCTTGTCTTTACTAAAATGATATGCAAAGGCGTCTTGTCTTTACTAAAATGATATGCAAAGGCGTCTTGTCTTTACTAAAATGATATGCAAAGGCGTCTTGTCTTTACTAAAATGATATGCAAAGGCGTCTTGTCTTTACTAAAATGATATGCAAAGGCGTCTTGTCTTTACTAAAATGATATGCAAAGGCGTCTTGTCTTTACTAAAACGATATGCAAAGGCGTCTGGCCTTAACTCCGGCATGCATCTGATACCGAAATCTCACTGACACACTGTTTGAAATATGAAATACGAAAAGTCATAACCCAATCTGATTGAGGTTCACATACTGTACACTTACTTATATTAGTGGCTGTTAAGTCCGTGCTTTCACGATATCAGACAAGATTACTACCTTACAGTTCGCAACTTAAGATTTTCACGGATAGAATGAGTACGCGAAAGTTAAAAATTATCAGTACATATGTACGTTAACATTCGTCTTATATCATTAATTAAAGTGTGATGGCTTGATTCATTTAACCATCGCATATGTGCCAAACGGTATGAATGTATGCATGCAGTCTGGGTGACAGATAAATAATTATGATATCTGTTAGGAAGTCTTGATACAGTTTAACAACGGTTCAGTATTTGCAATATTTTTATTTTAATATCATCTTACATAAACGTGTTGTTTTTTAAAAGTTTTTCCCTGTTGTTATTTTTTTTTTTTTTTACTGAAGGAGCTTCCTGAAAATTCATGATCATCTGAACGATAAACATGTGTGATAACTGATGTGGCGTGCAAAGCGTTGACGGAACGTAGGTCAACACGGCGTAACAATGGCGCAAGTGTCTATTACACTTCTACAATCCTGATTAATGGGAGGCAATCACACAAAATATGAAATATATCTTTATCAGCAATATTAAAGCAAAATATTACTCGAGATTTACACATAGCGCAATTAGTCGTGTTTGGTTTTATCTTCCAAACACCTCTCCTTAATGAGTTATGTCATGTAACTGACCATGTACAATGAAGTTCATTACACCGCCACTTAAATGATATTGCGACAGTCATGTATAGCTGTTGCTGTTAAAAATGAATACTTTTTATGTTGATAAACGTAAATATGTGCATTTCAATTCTTATGTTGTTATAAATGACCATTTCAACAACAATGCTTTGCTATGTTACTTTTGTTGTAGTTAGATATAATGAAAGTAAACCAAAAGCAAGCTGCAGGCTCTGAATTACCAATCTTCAAAGTAAGTGTGTTCCTTCAGAAAATGCATAAGCTAAAAGTTTACCTGTGTATCTAGTTCAACCTCTCCCTCAGCTTTCACTTTCCTCTTCCGAATACCAGTGTCAATTTTTGGTTCTGTTAGAAACAACAATATTTTACTTACACATTGACCAAAATGGAGGAAACATGATTGACATCAAGGGGAGAGAATCCATATGCCCTTAATTACAGTCTAAGGGAACTAAGCCTTAGTGGGAACCAACCGTCTGGACAGAAAAACAGACTTTCGAAATGGTCCCTGTGTATAGAAGACTGAGCCGTAGAAAAATTCTGGCCGCCACTAATTGGTCAATAAATTATGAAGTTCTGAAGTATATATATATCCTGACAGGTAAGTATTCAGATATAGTGTTGATATAAATTTGGTAAGATGACTTTTGTTCAAAATTATATCACATATAATCAATAGGTGAAAATTCAGAATTTGCAGAATTCTCACTGCGAGGTTCACTCAATTTCAAAATGGACTCCCTAGAAAAAGTGTTTATATTAAATGTTATATGAGACCCTAAACTTTTGGTATATATCATAATGGCCACTTCAACAGTTCTAATGATATATCCCTGAAGATTAACTCTGAAGTCTATGTAAAATCAATTGGATGGTTGGTCTTTAAAAAGATCGCATCATTACCAACTGATTCTTTGTAACAGCGACTATTAAGGGGATCTCTTCAAAACACCTCATGTACAGTGTATAGAATATCAATTTTGCTGAGAGTTTCAATGATGGAAAACATATTCACTTCAATCATTTTGTCGATAATATCAACACGCCTAGACAAAGAAGCACACACTTAATTGACAAAATTGATACAGAACACGAAAAAAAGAAAATATTCACTTGGCTCTATAGAATAAAACTGAAGTACAGGACGTCTGTTACAACTCCTTAATGATAGCTGTTAATCTGATATCAATATTTCACGTAGCTTCAACATTACCCTTAGTACTTTACCAGATATGAATACTAGTAGCTAGTAGATATTGCAATATTATAATACATATCAACTAAATGATAATTATCGATTGATAAGATTTTACGAACGATACAGAATTTAATAACACCTGTCAATACAAAGGTACGGTTCCAAAAAAATAGCAACTCTTCGATTTTGTTTTAAACTTTGCAAGCATTCTTCCTCCTGTTGTGAAATCTTACTGGGTCACAGAGCCTGTACTTCACAGTTTACACTACATATGTTTAATTGCTACAAAGCCACCCCTTGTCTACATATTGGGACATATCAATTTCTCTCAGATTTATTGAAGACCTTCATTACTTCATCTGTATATCAATAATCATCTTTTTGGATGACACTTTAATCACTATGATGGGTATTTCCCCTTTTTGTGATGTGAACTATTATGACACGTTTCTCAAATCCTAAATTTCGCACCATTAGCGTTTAAGTAGTTCGATAACTGTTTCAATTCTTTTCAATTTTTTTACTTGGTGGTAAAACAATAAAACTATTTTTTGTGTAAATAAAATAAAGTGGATAAAACTTGAATCATACCAAGTTTTTTTTATATTTTTGGCGACAGCCTGATTTTGAAAAAAAAAACCAAAAAAAACATAAATCCTATTTCTACCCCTTAAACAATCTTCAATCCAATATACTGATACAAGCTTGATAAAAGTAATGAAAGATATGAAAACTAAGAATTTATGAAAAAGGTGGTAAAAACGTGTTCTTAAGACATATAGTCAGTTCACTGAACGTGTGGGTCCTTTGTGCCTTTTTATTATAAAAGATGAAACTTTAAGAATATATTTTGCATTGCCATTTACAGCACTTCAAGCATACAAAGTTTGAAAGAAATCCAGGTGTGGGTAATTTCTATGGGAAATTTAACATTAGCTAGAATACCACCTTTAGAATTACATACAGTAGAGCATAATAAGGAGAGAAGAACAAGAATCTGGGGTCTACTTCTATCGGGTTAGAGGACCACCATGGAACAGAAAAATTGTTCGCATCATCCAGGAATGTTATACCATATTAAGCACTGAAATATAAATAGACCTATATCTCAATCTTTTATGATGAACAATAATTTGATCTCTTAAAACCGTAAATTGCTATGTAATGATTTATTTCCACCTACATTGTATGATATATCAATTCCATTGTGAATCAATTTTAGATATGGACATAGAGGCATTGTTTTGCCTGCGTCCATTATTAACTTAACTTAATAATGAATTAAACTACATCATGCTCTTTCGGTCTGCCGTGCCGCATTAGTGATGCTAGGGGACTAATTTGTTGAAACCTATACTCACGAGCTTCATTTGCACCGAGTGTTGGTAGTTTTGGATCCTCGTCGCTGAAGGATGCCTTATATTTAATCTTGGCTTTGACGCCCTTTAGTTCACGCAGCACCTGACAAGATCCCTGGAGACAGGAACAATGTTAGTATTTTTTAATTAGTGTGCTTAGTGTAGTACTTTGATTCTTCTTTATATTAAGTTTCGGGCGAGTTACCTCAACTATTATCTGCTGATTTTGTAATCACGACGCTTTCTCATGAGAAACACCAGTGTTCTCTGTGTACACTTTAATAATATTTGGTATGAGATCTAGACTGTTGCATAGGGAATCTTTGCATAGTAACCAAAGACAAAAAAAACTAATGAGCTATCAATCCATGTCAACCGATAACCCTGCTATGGTTTTTTTTATAAATTTCAACGTGATGTCATAATTATACCGTCGCAAGTATCCGTAGTATTGTCTCCACTCCGAGTGTCCAGTAAAGCTCGATGATGAAAATATTATTACAATATACATACACCAACCGCACATTTCAAAATAAAGAAGAGTTATCTCCTCCTTATCTACAGTATATCTAATAGTAGAAAGGTGTTACTTACAGCTTTGACGACATACAGCCACTCAGAGAAGTTGCTATCCTTCACAACAACTACATTCCGTCTGTAAATACAAAACACATCGTTTATATTATACACTAAGTACGATAGTATAACTAATTTACCATACTGCTGTCTGATTCTAGGTGCAAGATTGAATACTTTGTGTTGCGAAATTACAACTTCGAACATTTCCTAAACCCAATCGATTACACGAACATAGTTTTCCACTTGCAGTTGTAGCGCGAAAATTGTGCAATATCAGGTCCTTAAATTCTTTCTAAAACTGACGAATACCAATTCATTATATCAGAAGGCACGGGGCGCTTCACTGCTTGCAAAAAAAGACACGCAATCTGTATTATTTTTTTATTTTTTTTCTCCAAATATTTATTGACTTTGGTGATGTATATAACCTCGACAAACCAAACGAGGCTTATTTACGATATATAGATTACAATACATAAGTATTAGTAAGTACAATGTATATAACCTTGGCAAACCAAACGAGACTTGTTATATAGGTATATACAAATAATTATCGGTAGTCACAATGTTCGTATATATATATATGTAAATAATTTTAATATGTTATTCAGAAGCGAGTGTTCGACTGACCGCACAACTGCTACAGTATATATCTCGCACAACTGCGGTCAGTCGAACACTCGCTTCTGAATAACATATTAAAATTGTGTATGGGGTTATAGATGTTTACCCTATCAAATGATAATGGCAAATAACGGATGGCCACCTGTGGTATATAAATACTGAAAACCCCTTTAATACAGCGCGTATTGTATGTGCTTTGAAGCGAAAGCCTGTTATAAAAGGTGTAAAGCTCCAACGGCAATGATAAGATACCTAATAAATGATATGATATCTTACTTGAAAAAGTGGAGCAGACAAAACTGGGGTTGTTCTAGTAGGTTGTCTATTGGCCAGTCCCTCATGAAGTCACATTGACTGTTAAAAAAGAAAAGAAAGTGACGACATATTGTAATCATTAGAATACATTTGTACTTGGAACTTCGTTTAAACAGGCATTGATCAAATTGAACTTTGTTTAAACAGGCATTGATCAAATTGAACTTCGTTTAAACAGGCATTGATTAAATTGAACTTCATATAAACAGGCATTGGTTAAATTGAACTTCGTTTAAACAGGCATTTATTACATTGAACTTCGTTTAAACAGACATTGATTAAATTGAACTTCATATAAACAGGCATTGATTAAATTGAACTTCATTTAAACAGACATTAATTAAATTGAACTTCGTTTAAACAGGCATTAATAAAATTGAAGTTCGTTTAAACAGGCATTGATCAAATTGAACTTCGTTTAAACAGACATTGATTAAATTGAACTTCATTTAAACAGACATTAATTAAATTGAACTTCGTTTAAACAGGCATTAATTAAATTGAACCTCATTTAAACATACATTAATTAAATTGAAGTTCGTTTAAACAGGCATTAATTAAACAAAACTTCTTTTAAATGAAAAATTATGGATGTGGCAGATAGGCACATATATATATAAACATTTTGGATATTTCAATCACCATCTTACATACAACAACTTGGGATAGTTTTTTGTCGGCTATAAGGTATCCCGAAGGGATTATCGAGACACCTAGCTTTACACAACTTTTTATTTGTTTTATTTTTTGTTTTTTGTTGGTTTTTTTCTATGTATATGATGTAATTGATGTAATATTTGTGTTTTTATAAAGGGACAGGTTGGCTCGAAAATTTGACAATTATCTTGTCCGTACTGTTGCTATTACTTCATTGATCATAAATATATATATGTATATATCTATATAATTATGTTTATATAGAATTAGAGGTAACAGAGTGAAGGAGAAGGGTTTTACACACACATCCTAAATCATTGTTCAGTGCTGTTTTAAATAAACTAAACACAAATTACAACTAGGTTTTAAACATTCAGTCCACCAGTGTTATATGTTGTAGGCATTCCAGTGAGACAAATTAAAGCGAACGTGCAAATGTACATGTCATCGGATCAGATTGACACTGTCAGGAACAAAACAAAAGGAAAGAAAATTGTCAAACGCAATGACATATTGACAAAATATAAACGTACCGAACCACTGCAGTTCAGTGCAATTAAAAGTCATCCGTTCAACAGCCTGGGCGGAGTTTTATTACTACATAACCAAACATACTGACTGCCCAAGTAAACATTTCGTGGTTTTCGTTTTAATAAGGCTACACACACAATATAAGTCAAATTCAAATCCCATTAACATGTGCATGGAACAGACTTAAATTTGTCTTAATACAAAAGAGCTGTTATAAATGTGTGCCACTTTTCTACATGTGACAGTCAACCCAGCCGATCGTTCACTTTTGACTCCATGTTTCCGCTTGTGAAATGCGTTGCTGTTAATTATATCTATTTCCCTACAGGTTATTATAAACATTAATATAAACTGTACGTGTTGAAATATTTTGACCAAAAAAAAATCATAAATTTTCGGGCTCCCTATATCTTAAACTATATTAAGACCTTCATTCAGAAGTAGAACTTTTATCATACGATATCACACTGATGTGATAACGAAATTGGCAGAATACATGTGGTGATCGGAATTAAATTGTAAGTATTACTTACAAATTATATATTCAATAAATACCACATAGCAGCACCTACACAATGTATCGATAGACTGTGTTCAGGCATTCATCATATATAACCAAATAAATTACGGTTGAGTTTTATACGACCTGTATTGGGTGGAACTGGAGTGTGTAATGTGTCGTGTGCTTACGTTTGAGACAGGTATTCTATTGCGTTGATGGCCAGTTTATATGTAGTCATTGAACCAATTATATCACTCACGATGGAACCTGATTTTGATGAAGTATATGATGACAGAATCACAACATTAATCTCTTCAAATGGATATTTCATTTTCATGTAGATACAGCCTACATTTTAATATATATATATATATGTGTGTGTGTGAAAGCCAAACACTGTGGTGAATTGTATATGCTTTACATAATGTCATACATTTTGAAAGTGTAATAAATAAAATTTAAAGGAGCAACAGCGCACGTGATTAGATTTTAATAGTGCTATAAAATGTTTAAATACCTAACCTAACATTATATCAAAGTGTTTCGCCGAAAATAATGACGGTATTCAATTGTAAAAATATATAATGGTCACGATTCGAAATCTAAAGAAAAAACAATCTGCCAAAATGTGTCATGGATATTCGATATCAAATAATATAAACCCACAATTTAATATAAAATATTAACAGATCTATGGTATTTTACATCAACTTCATGAAAGTCGCAAATACTTCCATTATAATTTGACAAAACGAGCGGGTAAAAAATACCAGGTTTATTGTTAAAGATATGGACAGATGCCGGAAACTTTGTGATAATCAAGGACAATAGATAAGGCATTTTGTACCAACACTTCGATGTTCGCGTGTCTACAGAACCTAATAACAACAATCGTTGATAAGATTTGTTAAAACCAAGCAGACAGTCACAAGATAAGGTTAACAGTAGAGGTAAACACACATTATGTTTAATATTTTAGATTACCTTGGGTCAAAATAACTGAGATTTAAACGAAGATACAAGCCTTTCAACACAAAAACTAGATACCGTAATATCAATAAATAATTAAACTGCATCATACAGCTGTATCGTCCTTCTTGGATCCCTCCGTGGTTCTAGGGGCCTAAATTATGAAACTTAGGAGGCGACTAAGGAAATCAAAATTGATAGAAATAAAACGTCAAAATCTAGATAGTGCATTAGCCTCAAAACAGAAGAATCACAGGAGGCCAACATATATCATCATTCTTACCTTACAAATCGTATATGTTCTGGGATTTGGTCACCTTGTCCACTCATAAAGATATCGAAGAAGTCTTGACGACCAATGGTCAGCAGTTGACAGCCTCCTTGGCTGGTTACGGTTGCTGTCCGACGAGAGTGATGCAGCAGGGCCAACTCCTACGACAATGAGAAAAAAATACTCAGAATCTTTGGCGTAGTGAGGCAATGTGTAACAATGAAATAAACAAAGGACTTTGCGTACATTACAAAGTCGGATACATGAGAGAACCAGCTGTTCTGATCGAATCATGATTTATGGGAATGTAAGAAATCCAATGACACTATTTCTTAATATATCCCTCAAAATTAGCCAATGTTATGTTATCCGTGGGTATCAAGTGCTACGTCATTCAGGGATATCAAATACCATGACATGCATGGATAGCGAGTACCAGGCCGTCGCGGGATATATAATGCCACGCCATACATGGATATCCAATACCGCGTCACCAAGATATATAAAATGGCACGACATCCGTGGATGCCACTGAAGGATATATATTGACAAGACCTCCGTGGATGCCACAGAAGGATATATATTGACAAGACATCCGTGTATGCCACAGAAGGATAAATATTGACAAGACATCCGTGGATGCCACTGAAGGATATATATTGACAAGACATCCGTGGATGCTACTGAAGGATATATATTGACAAGACATCCGTGGATATTCAATTAGACTCTATTTTTTTCTTATTTTGCTCTGAATTTGCCAATTGCACTCCATCTGACACTCTTTATGGTGGCATTTCATTCGAGGACAACTCATAATGCTCTTTTTATTTCCCGCCTTAGGTTTCTATGTCAGGCGACCACCTAGTTACGGATGATTACATTTATGTAAAGACGACTTACCCCAAAACTCATTCCCCTTCTCATTATAGTAGCTGTCTTGACGAAGGAAGCACCAGTCTTGGGATTTCGTAACAATAACGTTACAACAGCTGAAGATAAAACAAAATATTAGAACATTCATGGAGATCATATATGGACACCATTACCGCTGTCAGGCATGGCGTTTACAATTAGATGTAAGCTCCCTCCTGTTAGTCACATATTAGAATTTGATGATGTCACTAATGATAAAGTCATATTGGTGTCAAGTTAATTTAGAGAGAAATTTGAACAGGAATTATTAAACTCAATCTATAGTTTCCAGTTAAAATGTTTTATCAATATGAAAAATGATGATACACAATATGATTTACGTATAGTTTTGCTTACCTTGGCCTGACAATATGAAATAAAAGTTTTCGGCAAAATGTCCCTGGCGAATGATGATGCGCTTAGCAGGAACACTGGAAAACAGAATTAAATAGCAATTACCTATCAAAACGAGAAGACTGGACTGCTTCTTCAAAGGCTGGATGTCGAAATAGATTAAACACCAAAACCTTTTCTTTTATATGTGTTTAATTATCATTTTCAATCATATCAGAGACGACGGGATAATATTGAGACAAAAAAAAAAATTCTATCAAAACAATTTTCATTTTTTCGTTTTTTTTTTTTTTTTCTTTCTTATCATTGATTTCCTCTTAATGCCTCGTTTTGGCCTCATTATTAAATGTATAAACGAAATGATGTGACATGTCCAGTTTGTGGTCAATAGTATGGTTTTCAGTGAGATGGTATAGAAGAAACAACAAGGCTGGACCGTTAATGAAGACCAACCATGGAATAACTAGAAATATCTCACCATTAATGATCTTGGTTTGCCATCGAACTATCGCTTAGCCGTTTAATAAACAGCAAAGAAAAACAATAATTATTTAGACAAGAAAAATATTAGATGTTGACACTGGTTTGGGGCTAAAATACCACCTGTTTGGTTTCCACAATCCAGATAGATGTAAGATAAGACAGGTTGTTTACTTAGTCATATGTAGTGTATATTTAATTGAGAATATAACTCCTTCGTCTATTATCTAGTATAAATACCAACATCGTAGAGGAAGTGATTATGAATTGAACTATTGTGCTAATAGTATGTTTACTTACACTTCGAACCACGCGACCTTTGCCAGTTTCTCCTGCATGTGAAGTGGATATTCCGCAAATGATCGCAGACTCTGCAGTCCGAACATCGCCTGCAGTAACACATTAATGTTAAAGTACACGACAGAAATTGTATATTATTGGTCTTCACTGATACAACGGTAATTAAACAACTGCAAAATGTATACGATTAATGATGACACGTGGGTTTTATTATTATCATCATTATTCGGTTTTTCAGTTAAATGTTTTTAGTAAAGTATTTACTTAATTAAGTCTGAGTTAGAGGAGAGATTATTGGTATTTACAGTCGTAATCAGTCATAACAAAAGTATGAAAAGTGTTGAAAATTCCAGTATCGGTTGAGTTTTCTATATAAAATCTATGTGAATTCTATTTTGGTAATTGTGTTTATCTAGAGGATAAACGTTGTATATTTGCAGTGTAACATTTTTTATTGTATGGTGTATAATGTTTGTAGCTCGACTTAGTCATTGTAACTATACATACATATATATATCAGTTCCTAGTGTATTTATATATGTAATTTGTTTATTTATTTTATTGTCGCGTTTTTTTAATTGTTTTAATGGCGTTTATTCATTCCCGTCATGTATAAGTTTGATTCACCTGATGTTGACTGTGAAGCGCGTCATTGAAAAGTATTATATAGTCAGAAGACGTATTGTTGTCATCATCAGGAACCTGTATTGATATTTCAGGAGAGTCTCACGTGATTGTCATTATCGTAATGGTTGCTATAAACACTTGTTCATATCAATACACTGTGACGGTGTGTAATCTCTATTTAGTAATTTAACAAGAATCACTTTAACAACTGGCATTGACGTGTTTCCACTAACAATATCATTTCTTTTGTTCGATTTATGATTCCTCATTATACACATCAAACAGAAATTGTTAAAACCGAAATGTAAATTCAAAATATTGGTCAAATCAATCATTTCGATGATTAGGCTCGCGAAATAAAATCAATTTTGATTTTTTATAGAACGAGTCATTACATGGGTACAAATGCATTAGTATGGGACCGCTTCATGTTTAACACGTGTGAATGTAATCACTTAAGCATTGTCTGAAACCAAGCAATATCACTCACATCGATTGTGTCTCAATACAATCGCTCGCCCACGAATGTTTGTGTGCCAGAACTATTACCACGAGTGTCTGTCTGCACAATTACCACAAGTGTCTGTCTGCACAATTACCACAAGTGTCTGTCTGCACAATTACCACGAGTGTCTGTGTGTCTGTACATTTACAAAGACTGTCTGTGTGTTTGTACAATTACCACGACTGTCTGTGTGTCAGTACAATTACCACGAGTGTCTGTGTGTCTGTACAATTACCACGAATGTCTGTGTGTCTGTACAATTACCACGAGTGTCTATGTGTCTGTACAATTACCACGAGTGTCTGTGTGTCTGTACAATTACCACGAGTGTCTATGTGTCTGTACAATTACCACGAGTGTTTATGTGTCTGTACAATTACCACGAGTGTCTGTGTGTTTGTACAATTACCACGAGTGTCTGTGTGTTTGTACAATTACCACGAGTGTCTGTGTGTCTGTACAATTACCACGAGTGTCTACGTGTCTGTACAATTACCACGACTGTCTGTGTGTCTGTACAATTACCACGACTGTCTGTGTGTAGGTACAATTACCACGACTCTTTGTGTGTAGGTACAATTACCACGAGTGTCTGTGTGTCTGTACAATTACCACGACTCTTTGTGTGTAGGTACAATTACCACGAGTGTCTGTGTGTCTGTACAGTTACCACGACTCTTTGTGTGTAGGTACAATTACCACGAGTATCTGTGTGTCTGTACAATTACCGCGACTGTCTGTGTGTCTGTACAATTACCACGAGTGTCTGTGTGTCTGTACAATTACCACGACTCTTTGTGTGTCTGTACAATTACCACGAGTGTCTGTGTGTCTGTACAATTACCACGAGTGTCTGTGTGTCTGTACAATTACCACGAGTGTATGTCTGTACAATTACCACGACTGTCTGTGTGTCTGTACAATTACCACGAGTGTCTGTGTGTCTGTACAATTACCACGACTCTTTGTGTGTAGGTACAATTACCACGAGTGTCTGTGTGTCTGTACAATTACCACGACTGTCTGTGTGTCAGTACAATTACCACGACTCATTGTGTGTCTGTACAATTACCACGAGTGTCTGTGTGTCTGTACAATTACCACGAGTGTCTGTGTGTCTGTACAATTACCACGAGTGTATGTCTGTACAATTACCACGACAGTCTGTGTGTCTGTACAATTACCACGACTGTCTGTGTGTCTGTACAATTACCACGAGTGTCTGTGTGTCTGTACAATTACCACGACTCTTTGTGTGTAGGTACAATTACCACGAGTGTCTGTGTGTCTGTACAATTACCACGACTGTCTGTGTGTCTGTACAATTACCACGAGTGTCTGTGTGTCTGTACAATTACCACGACTCTTTGTGTGTAGGTACAATTACCATGAATGTCTGTGTGTCTGTACAATTACCACGAGTGTCTGTGTGTCTGTACAATTACCACGAGTGTTTGTGTGCCTGTACAATTACCACGAGTGTTTGTGTGTAGGTACAATTACCACGAGTGTCTGTGTGTCTGTACAATTATCACGAGTGTCTGTGTGTCAATACAATTACCACGAGTGTCTGTGTGTCAGTACAATTACCACGAGTATCTGTGTGTCAGTACAATTACCACGAGTATCTGTGTGTAGGTACAATTACCACGAGTATCTGTGTGTCTGTACAATTACCACGAGTGTGTGTGTGTGTGTTAGTACAATTACCACGAGTGTCTGTGTGTAGGTACGATTACCACGACTGTCTGTGTGTCTGTACAATTACCACGAGTATCTGTGTGTTAGTACAATTACCACGAGTGTCTGTGTGTCTGTACAATTACCACGAGTGTGTGTCTGTACAATTACCACGAGTGTGTGTGTGTGTGTGTGTGTTAGTACAATTACCACGAGTGTCTGTGTGTAGGTACGATTACCACGAGTATCTGTGTGTTAGTACAATTACCACGAGTATCTGTGTGTTAGTACAATTACCACGACTTTCTGTGCGCCAGTACTGATTTTCTATATATCAGTGTGTCTACACGTGCGAGTACAGTGACAACTCATCTTCAGTACTTGAATACCAAAACATTGCGTCTTAGTTGTTACGGGTACACGTAATGAGTATAGTTGTAGGCATTCGAGTACTGACCGTCTGTATCTGTTCTGCAGTCCTCTCCTCGGATGGCAGACTGAGTATGGTCTTTACTTCCGTACTAATATTGATCTGAGAATGAGAACATATAGTGACAAGGTAAATGAAACCAACACACTAAGTTTACCTATAAAAAGGTCAATTACAAATGTCGGTGTGCAATGCTTGTATTTCATTCATGATAACAATTCCTGATTTTAAAAGAATTCCAACCAACCAAACCTTTGTATCTGTTTGTATTCTTCCATAGTGACAAGCTCCTACATAATGTGTCTATTGTCAAAAGTACTTATATTAACAGGAAGTACCAGCTATTTATCAAACAAACCTAAACATACACCAGATACCAACAATGTAGAAACTGACCGGAGCATTTAAATGCACCATGACAGAACAATAGAAAGTTACCGTACGGTCAACTGACTGATCTATTTTCATAATGATGGTGTCAATTTTCTTTCCTGAAGAAAATCTTCGCTGTCTCTTGACCTAGTTTTACAGAGTATAACTAGTGAATTTGATTCCGAAATGGCAATAACCATTGAATCTACTGCCAGCAGCAATTACTATTCAGGCGGAACCGGAAGTGGACCAATCTCACCAGGCGAAGTCCCCTTTGGAACATTGTTATAATGTAAATCAATTAATCTTCTCTTCCTCTTTCTGACAAAACTATGTAAGACAACATAAACACTGTCAATCTATCTTAACGTGAACAAAATTAAATATGTTAAACACAAACGCTAGTTTTAACGCGTTAAAATCCTTATCCACACACTTCATCCTAGCTTGAGTTATCGAGCTGAAATAATCGCAATATTAGATTTGGTAAATTGCTTCCTTAATAATCAGGCAAAACTGATAAAACATGTATTGAGATACGGCTGTATTCATTGCGATTTCGTTTGAGGTCAAGGTCAATTTGAATACTGATCTACAGTACGGTTATATTCTTCAAAGTTGCTGTGAGATTCAAATCGTTTCCATCGTGCAGCTAACCGTCTCAAATGTGAAATGACCTTCTAGTAGAGACGATATAAAGACAATACTTCTATACATCACTTCATCGCCAACGGTGCAGGATTACTGGTCAATTTGAGGGTATTTTTGATAAAAATAATCAAAACAAAAACTCTGCCACTGCTGGGGTTCGAACTAGCGACCATTCGGTGTCTCTAACCTTACCGCTTCTGTCCAAAAACTACTACTTTAATCTCTAAAATGACCGCTTAAAACCTTAAACTGACCGCTTTAATACCAGAAGTGACAAGTTAAATTTTTGAGAGATCAGTTTCAATTTCTAAACTGACCAATGAAGTTTTAAGATTGATCGCTTTCACATCTAAAAGGACCGCCTTAATTTCTACTATAATTGCTTAAAAAAAACCAGTAAAGTATATACCTCTTTTTTAGCTTTGAAGTATGAGGGGTCAAAGGTCAACCCTGATGAATGTGGCTGGGTCTCCGCCTCACTGGCAAGGTCTGTGAATGTCTTCATACCAGTGTCCACTGAAGGATCCCTGCAAGCAAATACAGACTTAACATTTTTGATGTGCAAGACACCGTGACTTCATATTTTCACATTTTTAGGCATTTACATATCTGAAAAAATATTTATTCGGTGAAAACAAGTCAGAATCTTTATTTTTAAAACCGTGGAGATTAAGACCGTCACGATGATGAAGAAATGTTTTTGCTGAAATAATTACTGATGTCCGTATTACAGAGGCTCTGATATTCTGCTAAAACTTCGGTGATAAGTATATATATAAAATTATACATCAATTACTTACGTGCCCGCTGCTGCGGAAATTTTTAATACCATTTTCACGAATCTGCAGGCTTTCTGGAAGCGGTCCCTTGCCTTTAAATCAAATAAAAATATATGCAGAGATTACAAATATTGCTTATACATTTATGTTAATAACTTTAAATTACATTACCAAAAACAATAGTATTTATTTTAATATAAATTGATCGGAGTTAGTATTGAAAATATTTATTGCTTGATGTTGTGATATAAGAAAAATCAATCATCTACATTTGACAAGAATTTTAAAGATGCATACAGACGATATAAAAATAATTTTGAACTCACAATTTTGGCACGAACTTCTTTCTCCAGCTTTGTCTTCATAATGTAATTTCCTCGGCCTTGACTCATCGTGCTCTTTCTTTTGGAAGAGCCAACTGAAAAAGTGCTCTCAGTAGGGGAGTCACAAAGATCCATTCCGGACCTTGGCGAAGCGCCCTCCAAGATAGTGGTAGATTCTTGCCCCTTAGGCGCCATACCATCAGGGGTGAGGGAGTCTCTCTTTATATCGTCTAGTTGACTAGCACGCTTTTCGGTCGCAGACTGTATCTCCTTTTTAGGAGATTGTGCGTCTTCCTTCTTGGGCGCCTGGTCTGTTGTTTCGCTGCTGGCTTCCTCCTCTGCGTCCTCTGATATACCTTCTAATATAGGTTTCATAATTATACAATCCTTCTTTGTTGACAACCCACTGTCGTCATCCTTACTTTCGTCTTCCTCCTCCTCTGAAGACGATTCGTCATCGCCGTCATCCACAATGCCTTTGAGTATGTGTTTGTACCTTGCCAGAAGACTGAAACCTTGCTGTTTTTTCTCCTTTTTCTTGTTCTTGTCTTCATTTTCCCTATCTTGTTTGTCTTTTGCAATTTTGAATCTTTGCATAGTCTGCAAACTGCTTCCTGTGTAGTTTTCCGGTTTAGAATAATAATCCAAATCGGTTTCTGGCGGATCGCCTTTCCCGGAGGAAAGAGCATTAGCCGTCATGGCTTGCTCGAAACTACTCATCCTTGCAGCTGTGTTAAGCGTCTACCTAACCCATTTTATCTTTTGAGTACTTCCATCGAAACACAGACTGGTTTTCGTCCTACAACGACAACAATAGCGTTTCCAATGAACAAAAGATAATGCAGTGACGTCATAACAACGATGACGTCATATAAAATGAATGATAAAGACGGGTGCGTAATGGAGAAAACAATTGCAGTAAATGGTGCGGAGCGAAATGAGATTGAATGATTTGTATTAACACATATATACGTGTACACAGCTGCTAGTAGTGATATTTTACGACTCGGTATGTACATACCAACGCCATTCACCTTCTAGACAAACAAATACCTTCAACATTACAGTGTCAGATTTGACTCACGAGTGCTTTGAGCCCCTACAAACATGTTATAAGCTATCGGCACCTTGTCTTGAGGGCTTGGTGATACCTGTATTGCCGAAAACCACTACAAGCACACGAGACTTTAAGATAAGTATCCTATCCTGTAGTCTGAAGGTGAGACGAGAGTCTATCATCTACTTCAGGAGAAACTTAAGGTCGAAAATACTGACACATTGGAGTGGAAACGTCCCGGGGAACACCATATTGCTTTTACACGCTCACTAAACCGGAAGAAATTGATCGGCGTTCCTATTCAATGTAACAGTTTAACAAATTAATAAGAGTGTGCTCGAGTACGTTCATCAGACTGTGCCATTTGTTGGACCCAGCGTGTAGGCCGATGTCGGCCTACCCCCGAACATTTACAGCATCAATTGAACGTCAATCTCTGTCCCACTGACTGATCACATAATTCAAGATCGATGTAATCCGCTCAGTGTTTGAAAACATATTAGAGCTATCTTTACTGCCACTTAAAACAGCGTTATATAATGGTGTAATCACTCCGTGGTAAATGTGTAACTGATTGTCGGGTAGAGTCGCGCCTATCCCGTACAGTAACCTTATGACAAATTGCTGATAAATGATACATTGCCAAGCTCTGTCTTATTGTAATACTGATGACGACGATCGATGTTCGATGCCATTGGTCCACGATACGGCCAGGAAGTCTTTCTAAGTCCCATTATTTCCGTCAAAGTGATTCGCCGGTTACTTTAATGATCGCGTATCTTCGATAGCGTATGTATAGCCTTTCTTGTTACATTTTTCACGTGTACTGTCGATACCAAATTGACACGTTGTAAGTGTTCACTTCATCTGTCGAACTAATATGAGATCGATCTCCAGCAGTGGGATCAGGATGTGGAGGGTTGACCTACTTTCTTAACCTCATTCTAGTTGGCTCTCACTACCGTATCTCGTTCCGTTCGGAAAGTTTCATTGTCACAGTTTTAAGAAATATCACCCTTTATCTGTATGCGAAGACATCGATTTTAAATAAACTGATCTGATAGGCATTGACCTGTTATCGCCGACATACGGACAGCGTTCAAATATCGGTGGTCCCTATCGACTCATGTGGATAATGAGAAAAAAATGCCCATGAAATAGCCACTTCTGTTTATACATTTGAATAAAAAAAAATTTCGTGTTTTATATCGCATAATAATACACATTTATGATACCCGTTACAGTTTGATGACGATATAAAAAATATGTAATTACTATTTTCTTATCTGTTTATTTAATTTTCATTTATTTTTTTATTTATTTTTTTTTCAAAGCAGAAAAACACAACTCTCAATTAAAAGTTTGTTATTTCTCTGTAAATCTTACCTTAGATAAGACATTTGTGAAGAGCCATACGTTGTTTCCGTTATTATGAGGATAAATGATTCACAAATACACACAGAAATCCACCGAAAGTCAACACTGAAACAAATCGAAGTAAATGTGTGGCGATATTACGGAAAACACATTTTGTCACGTTCCTTAATTTCTACAACAATATATTATAAAAATTCAAAGAGGATGTCAGGTAGCCAACCTTTTAGAAAAGTTAACGGCTTTTAAACACTTCTACTGCCACAACACGATACATCGTGGGTTCTTGGTTAAGTTTAATCCCTGCCTAGTGAGCTTAGATGATATAGCGTGAGGGTGGCGTCACCAAATGCTTGTTTAAATAGACCAGAGAGCACAGTTGATCTGCCCGGTGGAAAATAATTGCATATTTTATAGAGTGAAAACTATATTATAACTAGAGTGTTTACGTTCTGAAAAGATTTCAATAAAGGGGTTCACAACCTTCAATCCCAGTGGCTTTTAACCCGTGTATTGTCGATACGGGGGGCGAAGTTAGGTCCAGCCCACTGGTACAAATATACACTTATACCGTTATTGTGTGAAAACCCGGATAAACAGCCTATCAGGTAATAATTTTGGGGCTTTGTACACTCAATAAATCGTCTATCGTAATTCAGCGTAACTGACAAGAGACTGAACACCGGGGGAATGAGGATGGTGTATATATTACTATAAAATCTGGTCCGTACCCATTTCACCGATCCCCTCTTTAAAAGAAACTGTCAATTTCGTAATTAGATAAAAATGCTATATATCAACATACTATCACATGCGAGATATAATCCCGACAAATATGAATACTAGCCGCCAAGAAACAGCAAAATGATAACCAATAAGAATATTTTTTTATATTTGCGAGAGTTACTTCCCCTGTGAAAGTTTTTCATCTTTATATCCTAAAATTGTTCTCGCGGTCAAGGTGGCCATCCGATCTTCAATATGGTTAAGAAAACAAGAATAGACATTTTAGAGCAATATCTGTTTATGTGAGAAAATTCGCGAATATTTTATTAGGTGAATGGTGAGCATCTTTATTCTCAGACAATAACATTTTGTTATTACTGTGATAAGAAGTGTGAGAAGGTCCCTAATCCATCCGCCCCTCCCGGGGTGGGGTAGGGTCAAAATACTATAGCAGGTACAGCGCATTGGACCAAACTTTACAAAACCTATATTCAGGATACAAGAAACTAATCGGGGCTTGAAAAACAACAAGAAAACACCAACAAGTCAACATAATCATAATCGAAACTAAAGTTTGATAAAACTAGAGCGAAATACAAACAAAAGAAAGATCTACAAGGAAAACGTACAAGGAGATAAAGACCATGTGATCCGGCAGAATAAGCGTCTTCTGCTTCATTGTCGACACTTGTCATGTAAATCTTTGTTAATTCAAGTAAGTAATGTTACGTTCTTGAATGAGAACAAGGTAAACAATAACGGATTATATAGGCAAACTAACGAGCATGAAACACGCCAAATTTCATATCACACAAAGAAACAGAATATTTCTCAATAAAATTATTATGCATTTTTTGATACTCTATGTAGCGGATTTCGTCATTAGCTGACGACTTCTTGCACGAAAATCGAGATAACGGGGACAGGATCTCGAATATCGAATCAACTACGATACGTCAACAACATAGGTTGGCGACACAGGATGTTGCTATCCAGAAATGGAAAATTCACAATAGAGAAATTGAAAATCATCGTTAAAAGAAAAGATCGAGATAAGCGGACGATGTAGAAGAGTCGGTGTACTTAAATTCCATTTCTGGCGGATATAAACGATGAACGCAGTCAATAAATGTCTTGTTATTTAAAGACAAGACGCCATCAATAACCGATAACGTGAAATTTAACGACTTTACACGGTCCTTTTAAGCTGTTTTGATAAGTTCTTCGCTAAATTCCGCCTCGTATGAAAACGAAGAGAAGTCAGACAACAATGGGCGCAGTTGGTTCCAATAGGTATGCCAATAGTCTGTTGGAAGATCTTACCACCAAACTCGACTAAGATGCTATCAGTCAGGAATTCGATATTTTTTAGATATCGTCCTATGACAATTCCTTCTTTTGTTTGGACGTTTTTACGAAATGCGCTTCAGAATAGTTCACAACCATATATTTGTATCGCCGTTCACCGTTCTTGAAGAAGGAAACTTTCATGACAAGATAAAGAAGGCATTCATTTAGAAACATTAACAGTGGTATACAGAGTGAAAAATTCAAATTTTCTTATAGAAAAAAAGGTTTTAGAGGAGGTTGTTGAAAATTGGTCAAAAGGTCTTTGGAGTTATTTAAAACCCACATACTGTTAATCCCATTTCTTGAGCAAACAGTATCACAATAAGATTGTAACCCAGATTTGAATTGTAGAAAGTAGTGTTGACAAATGTTTGGTTGAAAAGCTAGACGAGCCAGCAATAAAACGTTGTTTATATGGATTCTTGTGAAGTTTTGTAATTCAACATAAACGGTGAAGGTCTGTATCCTTATTATTAATAGACAATATAGTTGATTGTTATGACGGAAGGGCTTCTTAGTAAAACCGACACAAAAACATAAAATTTCTCCAATTTCAAAACAGTACCAATTTTGAAACACGTTACGTTTAAATGTCAACCCATGAAAAATTTGAAATGATTTTATTCAAAGTTGTTAGGGCATGCATTGACATTGAACAAAGGAATCTTACATGGGTCTGTTCTGTGTTCAAGGATATCTCAACCGAATGTTAAAGTTTTTTCAAAACTGATTTACTATTGCTTCGTCGATATTGCAAAAAAAAAATCAACTGAAACTTCAAAAATTAATTAAAAACAAATTATAGGTGTTTCAGATTCCGGAACATACATCACAACATCAACGCAAAATTTCGAAATTAGGTCTAAATTTAGCTTGAACCTTATAACATAGAATCAGTTTGAAATTATTATCAACAAATACATGTGATTGTCCCATTCTTTCAAAAACAAATGTTAATATTTTAAAATCTAAATATAAATGATATCTTAGTAGCCATGTAAAAATATCACAAAGCAAACGATATGAAATCATCGTAGCCATCAAACCAACAAGAATTATTATAAAATGGCGGATATATATGTATTCTTTCTCATTTGAAGTAAAATAAATAATACCCGTAACAAAGACACCAATTTAACTTACAGAAAACTCGTGTCTACCTGTAATGAATGTTTTCGTTAGTAGACAGGTATCTTTCCAGTGGATTTAGCTA